AAAAAAAAAAAAAAAAAAAAAAAGAAACGAAACCCAAAGCTGAGAAGCATTATGGTATCAAATTATTTTCAGCTTTAAAAACTGTATTAGGTCTCTAATTTCAAATATGGATTGTTATTAAGTGTAACAACTTAAAAAAAATACTTGAAATGTACCTAACATTTTGAAGCATGCTTTATGTCAAAGATTGCTGTTATTTAGTTTCATTTCTGTTGAAGCATAGTGGAATTGTCTTGTTCCCAGATATTTCACTTCTTAGCAACTGAACTTCAACAGCTGAATTATCTTTAGAATGAGATATCTAGAAAATGGCAATGGATGTTCTACTCTTCCTCTAACACCCACATTCACTACTACACAATAGGGTCAATTCACATGCTTCACCCAATTCCGGCCACAAAGTGTTGAAAAAAAGGTTTGAGTGAGACATATTGCTTCATACACATGTACAACAGATGCAAGTGACCTATTTCGACCTACCTTTTTATGTAGGCTGAAACTATTGCTCAAAGTTAAAACTTTCGCTCTGCAAACATCCAGTCTTGCTGGAAAACTCACTCGTGATGTATCATGTACATGGAATGGCTCGACAGATGCTGGTCATTCCAACTTATTCTAAACATAACCTTCAACGTTTGAACATTTCAGCCACCACTTCCCTGGCTAAATACATTCAGTAGTTGGACCCACTGCAGACGGGTATGGTATGAACAGGCAGACAGGCCAGTCCAAAAGACTTTTGGTGCCTTTCTTTAGATACAGAACAAAAGAATCCTACTTCAAGCAAATTCTTTGTTCCCTTGTGTTCACAGGTAAGCTTCCAAGCTATGTATTTAACAGTCAGTAGGACAGAAGAGGCGCAATTAGTGCTAGAATTGTAGTAGTGGAACCTGGCATGATCTAGAAATGCTGCACCAGTCAAAAAAAAATGTCTTATTTGATGAGAGGGGTGTTGTTTGGAAATATTTCATAAAAAACAAGCCTTGTTAAACTGTAATTTCATTTTCCCATAATCTAAACTGTGTCCAATAAATGAAAGTAACCAGTATCCAAGAACCTTTGGGTTTGGGATCAAACACACGTGTAAAACATTTGAAATCTCTTAAACAACACAGTACAAGTATGACACGGTAATCATTTTCCTCCACCTCATCATAAAACTGTCAAAGATCGAGCATGCTCATGAGAAAAGCACATTTCATACTCCTCTTTCATCTCCTCCACTAACAGCAGCAAAAAATCCTTTATGTATGCAAAGGAGAAACAGGTACAAGCACGAAGAAGTATGTAGTTAAGTAAAATAAATAAAAGAAAATCATAGGGGTCTCCTCAGTTAGCAAAAGCCTTACAGAGAAAGAAAACAGTTGACACTACAGTATAGAGGGACAGATGAAACGTTATATGCATGTACATACAGAATTTCAGTAAAGAATCCTTCTGCTTCCAATAAGACAGCTTTATTTGGATTTCTAATTTTCCTGTTTCCAATCAGCTTTTGACAACTTCCATTTTTCTAAAAAAAGGTTCTTTTCTGCTTGTTTTTCATTAAAAAAAAACAAAACAAAGGACCAGAACTCAGTACTTTATTAGTTAGGAGAGGATAGACATAGTATAACTTTGTTATGCTTTTGGCTCCCTTAGTGCTCCTGTCACCCCAGCCTGCTATTTATTTAGGGTTAGCCAATATGCTGCTGACATTTTAAGGAAGAAATGCTACTCAACTGCTATTCAAAACAGACACTACTCAATCAAGTGGACCCTCATGTTCAGCCAAATTTGTTTGCAGACCTCTGTGCTCCTGTGACTGAGAAATCAGTCACTGCAAGAAATCAGTACCTGCCCCATTTAAACATACCTAATACAAGACAGACCATAATTATATCCTTCAGCAGCTAATACCTGAAAGTAATATAACAACTGACTACATAACAGGAAAGCCCATTCTAAGCCATATGGGCTAATTAAGAAAGCACTATTTACATGTGCAAGTTTAAAAACTTGATTTCCTATTAAGGCAAATCTTTTTATAGTTCAATGTTCAAGAATGGTGAGATAATTACAATGCACATTGCATTAACTAATCAGTCTTGCTATGGCCAAGTATCAAGCAACTTTCATGTGGCACAAGTAGGTATTTTTAAAAGGAAACAAAAAAAAGAAAATATAAAATGAATATGAACACACAACTATTACTGCTCTCCAACTACAAATTATCAAAAGAACTGTGGACTTTTAAACTTTGCATTAGTTGAATGAATACATTCATCATTCACTTGAGGAGCAACTACTTTCTATGACACAAAATGTATTTTATTTTCATGTTCAGTATCATACTTTACCTGCCTAACAACTCAGTTCCCTCATGCTGCTTTGATCATTACCTTCAGGGGAAAAAAATGCTTTAAACCACTAAAGAATAACAAAAACCAATTAAGTTTTTGATGTTGTTAATTGGGTTATCCACTTAGCTATATTGAGGTGTTCTTGTATAGTTCCTATCTGCAACTTTCACACCTAATATGAAGAGAAATTGCAAGTCTGCATTTGTTTAAAATAGTATTTCATCACCGGTATATTAACTGTCAGCCTGATTCTCCAAGTCCCTACCTAAGGCAAAATACACACTGAAGTCACAGAGTTGACTGACTAGGGGATGCAAGAACAGAACTATGAAACATTAAAATAACAGACTCAGCTAAGAGGGAAGTGTTTTTCTCTTCCATAGAGAAATGTTTAAAATTGCCAGAAGAGGACTCTTCATTGAATAAATTCTGTTCTTCATGTCTTTCTTAATATGGAAAAAGATGTGCATTTTTCAATTGGGTTAGCTCAGTTCAACAGAAAACTGCTCAACCCTCATTAAAGCAGAGGCATATCTGAAGCCAATATTGGCTTTGCCTAGACCAGTTAATCTCGTCTAAACTAGGATTTCAGTTTTTAAGAGTTTTAAATAAACTCATTAGCTGGCATGTGCTAACTGACGCATTTAAGAAAAGCTTATGTTCAATATAAAGCCTAGACAACTTCATCCCACTAAGTGGCATATGTTAATTAAGAACAAGTAGCATCACAAAATCCTAGTATGGCCTAAAAGGCAAGTAATGTGTTCAACTGAAGGAAGGCCTTCACCAGTTATCTTTAATTAATAATAGAGTTGATGATAATCTTTCTTACATGGATTCAGTAAGAGCAAAGATCTGGGGGGAATAGGGAAAAACAAAGCATCAGTGAAAATAATAGCTAGTCTGTACAATATATGATATAAAAAATAGGATTTGGGTTTTTTGGGGTCTTTTTGCATCCATGCACTTAAAGTAACATACAACTTTAATTTGTCAAATTGCAATTTGTTAATGTTAGGATATGTTCAAATATACATTTTTTTAAGGTAAGGCAGCAAGGACTCGGAGTTCAATATCCACATTATTAAGTTCATTTTTACAAGGTAACAGACTTAGGTTAATGATTCCTAAATAGCTGCATTTTTATATACAAGCATGTCATGAGGCAATGACTCCTCAAATAAGCTGGCTATTTGCATATTTCATTGGTTATTTTAATCAAGATACAAGGCCTGTACATGCCAGTTTTGCCTCATTTAAAAACTAGATGCAACAGAAAGGAATACTTAGAGAGTAATTAACTCCTTCCATGTCAAATGCACAGTATCTAAATAAAAGCTATTGACCAACAAAGAAAAAAACTGTATTACTTTCAAAAACAAAATACCAGTAGCAACAGAACTTGTATACTGTTGGAATAGACCAAACTCTGCTAATAAATTCCACTTCAATATGCAAAGATGAGTTACTGACTTTTTATACACCCCAGCAGACAGCCAGTTGGTGCAGAGAGAGGAAAAAAAAATCTGGCTTGATTTTTCTACACCAGGGAGGAAGGAAAAAAAAAGGAAGGCTTGTGTATCAACTACTTTTCATTTCCAAACTAGTTACGGCTTGCACCTTTTAATTTCAGTTGATGATTGATAACCAATAGATGCACACGCAAAGAAAATAAGATTTTTCAGCACAGCAAATTTATGTAAAACATCCAAATTGTCTGAACACTAAAGTTAAAATGAATGCACAAAAGGCCATAATAATCAGCAACCCCAAGCTTGAACTTCTAATGAATCGAGTTCTTAATTTATTAGTTATAACCTTATGTTTGTTGGATAGGATTTAGAAGGCTGTGTGATTTCTTAAATGCCGACATAAAAATACACAAAATCAGCACTAAGGCCTTTAGACCTAGAGAGACATGCTCAGAACAGGAAATGATAGTTTGTTAATAAAGAAAGGTAAATCATTCTCTAGACTTCCGGTGGGAAACTTGGCAGTGAAAGGATTTTGACCTCAGTGGAAGGTAACTGCCACAAATGACAAATCAAGTAAGCAACTTTTTTCTTACAAGTGAGGCAAACATTTGACGTAAGGCTGGACTACAGTCAGATCTGTCACTCTGTAGCATATTCTCCTGTTTTTAAGAAATAATCCTAACTCCCTGTCCTGATGATATTAGTTGTCCATTTTTTTCCTGAGTATTGAAGCTGTATAAATTTAGTATTCTCATGACTGATAATTTCCTATTTAAAATATAAAAGCTCATCACTTACTAGATTAGGTCAGCTTTCATTGCATATTATACTTAGTCTGGAATGAATTAATGCATTTCTATATGTTCATTTTCCTCTTGTGCTACAAGAGCAGCCATTCACACAATTACTGCAAGGGCAAGGAATCTGTCTTGTATTCAATTGAAATACTAAAAATACATTTAATTTTTCCTTCTGCCTTAAGTTCTCAAATCATCTTGATGTCTTAGCCATACTATGGACACATTTCTTTGAAACTTATTAAAACAGAAAAAAACTCATTTTCCAACTACAAGTAATAAAGATAATGGGGAAAAAATGACAAGCAGCCCAGTTTAATTTCAAACGTTAATATATTTTTCTATTTTATAGTGAACATATGCATCTGTCACCCCTTATTTGCAGCAACTATGACGTTCTCATAAAAGGGATGAAATTTGTAAGATGCCTCTTAAAATAAATATTTCTTTTTTTATAAAATAATAAAACTTCAAATAAATATTCTTTACACTAAACAATATGTTGAAAAAATTAGAAAATAAAGGCTGAATTTTACTGTAACTGTACAATATACATGAAGTCCAAAGGGAAATCAGAGTCTTGTAATAGAGGGTTTCCGTAAGGCAAAATACAATCTAAAAACATACTGATTGATTCACATTCTTCCGAATGTACAACATATTAGTATATTTTGTGACCGTGCCATGTTCTATGACACCACTTGTTTTTCACAGTTGAAAATATTATCGTATATACAAAAATATAGAACATTATCTCTGGCAGAAAAAGGAGTCATTAACTAATTTACAAATCTTGCAAGTACTATTCACAAATGACAGAGTTGCCTAGGAGTGTCTACGTTGCTTTAGCTTATGCAATATGTGGATCACAAAGTACTGTATCCCATTTTTGAGCTCCATTAGATGGGTTCTAACAAGCATATCAGTTAAGATGGCACACACAGAAAAGCATTTCACCGCAAACAACAAAGTATATCCCCAACCCTCCTACTACAGTGCCAAAATTACAGCTGTTTAGTTGGTTGCATATGTATGTTAAAATAATTCTTATTACTTTAGTACTCCTGATTAGTGATGCTATGTTGACTTTTCAAAGTTCCTAGGGGGGACATTTGGAACTCTGCAGCAAACGGTGTTTGAGTGCTTACAGCGGCATCCAGGCCTATTTACCCGGTCATAACACCCCTGGCACAATTTAAGGCAACCCTTGGCTGGTAGGTAACACCACAAGCAAGGCAAAAATAGAGACACAACACCCATGGCAGACCACCTAGTGCAGCAATGTGACTGACTGCAAGAGCACGGGTTGTCAGCACAGTTGTCCTCATCATCATTAGAACAGTGATAGAAGAGGCCCTTCACGCAGCAAACACAAGTCCCATAATCAACCACGTTCTGGGCTGAGCAAAGACATTGCTTGTCACAGATCCAACATGATGGGAGGGTCCTTGGATAAGTGCACTCCTTACACTTACATTTCCCACAGTCCTCACACCTATAGGCATGCATGCCCAGGTCGTCTTTGCTCAGAGGCTTCAGCTCACTTGACTTGAGCTCAGACTTGGGCTGCACCCGGATTATCCCATCAGCAACAGGCCCAGAAGATGATCCTAAAAGTCTGTGTTCAGATGAGATACTGCTTGTACTTGTCCTTGTACTGCTCCGTGAACCTGTGCTGACTGTGCTAATGGAACGGGACAGAGGCGCCCGAGGAGAAGTGTGTATCTGCGGATGCTGGAATCTAAAATGACGATGCTCAGACAAGCCATGCAGTCTTTCATTTTTCTGCTGGGCAGCTGGACGAGGGGAAGGTTTAACACCCAGTCTTGGAGCCACTGTAGGTCCCTCTGTGTACTCATTTGTATTGCGGATGGCCCTGATCTGGTCCAAAGACAACACATGAACCTGTTGCGTCAGAACATCTCTCACGTCAGATTCTCCATGCTGCCTCCCACTGTCACGATGAACCTGTAGCAAGGACTGCGACCCACTGCCATTCTGAGCTCTTGTCTCCATCAGTACCCTGAAGAGTGATCACTCCAGCAGGCTTAGAACACATCTGAAATCCTGCAGCAACAAAGAAAGGATTCACTATTGCAAGACATTTTACATACATGTTTTATCCTGAAAGGTCCCAGAGCATTTCACAAATTAAACACACCCATCACCATCAAAATGGAGCTGCATCTTGGGTGGAGTACAGAGGCCAGCCAGCCAAATACATTGTGCTTTGCTAGTTTTTGGCCAAGGTCATTTTTACTCTTATTAAAAAGCACTAACAGATTTTCTACGTGCCTACAGAGCTCTTCTTTTTTAATAGGAATCCAACACCCATAAGTAAGTGACACAAAACATAAGTAGAGGGCTTTGATGGTTCAGGCAGGATTTAAACCTGTGGTTTCACAAAAGATGGGCATTTAAACTTGATGCTGAGACCTCCCAGCCTTTCTCTAGCTAAACTATGGATTTTAACATGCTTAACATTTTGCCACCTAAAGCAACTCTTCCTCTTTCATGTGACAACTAAACATATATTTTATACAAAAAAAGGCTACAAGCATTTTGACAAGTACAGTATGACCTGTTGATGACAGATCTGATTCTTCAACTTTATTTAAAATTGGATAATATCTTGGTAGGCTCTTTACATGTTATATTTTACATGATGTAAATAGGAAATTTTAAGTTTAATGCTAATGGTCCCAAGAAAAAAATAAAAAGGAATAAAATGCTTGAGGTTAGACTTTAACTGAGCTAGTGCTACCACTTCAAGAGCATAAGTAAAGCATCTATCTCTACAATATTTTATTGTGTCATGCTTACGTACTCCACAGCAATTATTATTTTGAGACTCAGTAAGAGAAATGCAATATAGCAAAATGTTTCTAACTAAATACCACCACAGAATTGTCTTTACATTTCAAAACGCATATAGATTGTAATTCAAATTGTGGACATCACCAGAAAAGACACTGACTTGTGGGGCAGAAACATGGAGAATCCAATCTGTGAAAGACTAGAATCCAAAAATAATATTTAAGGACACTTTTTAAAACACTCCCAACAATACAAGTTATTAAAAATGGAGATTAGCCATAAGTATGGAAATCCCATAAAATGAAATTAATGCAAGACCAATATCACAAATTTAAAATGCACCATACCAATAATCACATTAAGCCTTGATCTTAAATAACTGTCCTCTAATGTATCTTAAAGTAGACATAAAGTGCATTAGCCACATAAGGATTCAAAGTAATATTTTAAAATCAAATCCAAATAGGTACCTTCCTTCTTTCAGACTACACAGAAAGAGTAGCATAGTAATGGATGTGTGCAGAGTAACACTAACATTAAGTAATACCATACAACATAAATGTTAAATACCATAGAACAAGAACTTTTACAGTAAATGCCTCAATAGCTGATCTTTGTCCTGGTAGGAAAAGGAAAGAATATTATCTTAACTCCTAGTTATTTTTCAAGGCAAAACAAGATTTTAAAATCTTCACAATTGGTCTCTTTCACAAGAAGAACAAATAGGGTTTTAACAGCAAATATTATATGTATTAATTATTTGTTCAGTCATGTTTTCACCCATGCATATTATCAAGTCACAGAGCTGAGAGTGAAAACAATCTTAAACTTGTCTTACACCCCTGCCTGTTTATTTCAGATTAAGCCTCTTGTGGAGAAAAAAGTTTAAATACAAAATCCAGAATAGACATGCCCTTATTAGAACCTAGTTAAGGGCAAAAAAGAAAAGCTGAATTCTTCCCTACTTCAGAAGAGCTTTACAACACCATATGTTCTTGTTCCTCTCCTCCAGTGAGGCTTAAGCTAACTTCCAAGAGCAAAGAGAAACTTTTAATCAAATACTGCATCCCAAGAAATGATAATCCCATCTAAAAGTATAACTGACCCGGACTTGCAGGTCCTTAGAAAGACAGGGGTCTTGAAAACTGAACTCGTTCAAACAACAAGGTGAAAGCTGCAGAAGAAGATACTGCTCTTTTCTTCCTTTCCTTTTATAGGCTTCATCTTTGTCCAGAACAACATGCTCAGCAGGTGGGACACAGCAATCCCTTCATTCTCTCAGGACTGACTGATACTGCAAATGGAACCAACAGCTTCACAAATGCAGACAACCTGGAGATAAACAGGAGACATCCTTTGGGATGGAGGTGGGAGGAGGCTGTGGAAGCTGCCTTATCAGGAAAGTCAAGCCAATTTCTCCTTTTAACTGTTTCGCCCTTCCCCTCCCCCAAGAGATGTTTGAAGGAGGCTCATCCACTTGGGTTATGTAAAGCCTCCTGCATAACTTCTCATTGGAGGGAACATCTCCAAGACAGTTCAGAAAAAATGCAGGTTTCTCCTTCAGATAAGCTATCCTAAGTACCAGTTTATACTCCAAGAAGTCAGCTGCAGGAAGCCTTGCCAATGCTCTTACTACTTTATCTATTTTGAGTCACTTGTGTCCATTTCAGCCAAATCCTCAGATTATGAATTGCGAAGTAGTGATCACAAGATTTTTAGCACAACAAACAGCTCTTGAATTTTATTGTACGGGGAGCCTGCTGTCTAGCTTGATATACCCCCTTTACAGGACAAGATGCAAACTCCCTGCACTTACTCTCGTTTCTGAATGTAAACTTGCCTACAATTCTTTCAGGAAAGCAGGACTCTTCTCCTCTGATCTCGGTTGATTTCAATCCCTCCCCACCGACTAAGAACATGGTACAGCAGAAACACTTGCTTTTTTGTGATAACACGATTCACCCCTTCCAAAAGCCAAAGTCCATTCACTTGCAGAGTTGAAAT